TTGACCAGCAGCAGACGTCAAGATCTGACTGCTACCTGAGCAAGGGCACACTATGTACAGCACTCTGTCCTGAAAGCAAAGAGAAATTGTGTTGAATGTGATTAAAAAACATGGGGAAGCAACAATGCCTTTTGTGCTGCTATCACTGCAAGACAATATTTTCATGAACATAGAAATGCAATTTTCTAAGTTAAGACATAAGATGACAGAAATTTTAACTCTGTGGATATGTACAATAGAAATACAGTGCAGAAAGAATGCGACAAACTATCAAGTTAGTGCAGATATGAAGACCTAGAGAGGAATGAGAATCAAACATGGTGCAGAGCTGGAACTGGGTAATATGGTAAAAAGTAGATAAGAAAGGAGGGGAAGATTGTGAGCTCTGCTAGGTAGATACCTATCAAGACAAGTAAGAAAAGCACTTTGAAGAGAAGATCTCACTAAAGGATTAAACTCAGAGACACCACTGCCACCAAAAACCAGGTATTTACACTCAACAACAGATTCAGTCAACAGTCTGATTACCTAGTAACAATGTTTCTGCAACATTAACTTTTACAGCATAGTTAAATTACAGTTTTATTTAAACTCGTTATTAACTTACTCCATCATAAGCATATATAGATACAGCTAATTACCATATAAACAAGTCAGTTGATGCATGAAAATGCCTAGGTGGAATCCAGAATACACTCTTTTCAGCCCAGCTGAAGTGTCTCTGCACCACTGCACACAGCATGGGCAACAAACAGGAGGAGCTGGAAGTCCCTGCAAGAAAGCTATGACCTAGTTGCCACTACTGAAACTCAGTGGGACAAACCCATGACTGGAGTGCAGCTACTGGGACAGGACAGGAAAAAGGGTCAAAAGGGTTGCCCTCTACATCAATATATGGATAGAGCGCAAAGTTCTGTCTCTGAAGAACGGCCTTGAGGAGGCTGAAAGCCTGTGGGTAAAAATCAGAGACTGAGGTAACAACAGGAGCTTAGTGGTCAGTGACTACTGCAGGATACCTGACCAAGGGGAGCCTATTGATGGAGCCTTCTTCCTTCAGCTACAGGAGGTATCTTGCTTGCAGGCTCTTGTCCTCCTGGAGTACTTCAACCACCTTGATATCTGTTAGAGAAGCAACACAGCAAGCTGTAGGCAATCTGTGAGACTCCTGGAATGAATGGAGGACAACTTCTTAAGCCAGGTAAAAGCCTTCTACGATGGAGTGACTACATCAGTTGACAATGGAAGCACTACAGATGTCATTTATCTGGACTGCTGTAAGGCCTTTGACATGGTCTCCCACAACATCCTGCTCTCAAAATTGGAGAGGCATGGATTTGATGGGTGGAATGTTAAGTGGATAAGGAATCAGTTGGACAGGTGCATAGTAGTCATTGTCGATGACGATGACAAGTGGTGTCCCTCCAGGGGCTGCACTCAGACCAGTGATATTTAATGTGTTCGTCAGTAACAAAGATGAAGGGATCAAGTGCACCCTCAGCAAGTCTGCAGATGACACCAAGCTGAGGGGTACACTTGACAAGCCTGAGGGACAGCATAACATCCAGAGGCCAAGCTCAAGAATTGTGCCCATGGGAAAATCATGAAGTTCAGCAAATCTAAGTGCAAGGTCCTCTATCTGGGTCAAGGCAACCCCTGGTATCAGTACAGGCTGGGGATGAACAGATCGAGAGCAGCCCTGCCAAGAAGAGCTTGGTGGTGCTTATGGATGAGAGGCTGGACATGAGCTGGCAATGTGAACTTGCAGCTCAGAAAGCCAATTTAATCCTGGACTGCATCAAAAGCAGCATGGCCAGTAAGTCAAGGCAGGTCATTCTCCCCCTCTACTCCGCTCTCATGAGACTCCACTTCTTCACTGGCATCCTCAGCACAGGAAGGACATCAACCTGCTGGAGTGAGACCAGAGGAGGGCCATGAAGATGATCAGATGGTTGGAGATGGTTCAGCATGGAGAAATGGAGAAGAGATGGCACTGGGGAAACCTTATAGCAGCCTTCCAGTACCTAAAGGAGGCCTACAAGAAGGCTGGAGAGGGATATTTTACAAGGGCATGTAAGGATAGCACACTGGAGAATTATTTTAAAACTGAAAGAGATTAGGTTTAGGTTGGATAGCAAGAATTTCTTTAGTGTGAGGGTGGTGAGGCACTGGAACAGGTTGCCCAGAGAAGCTGTGGATGCCCTATCCTGGAAGCATTCAAAGGGTTGGATGGGGACCTAAGCAAGCTGTTCTCATTGAAGATGTCCCTGCCATGGCAGGGTGGTTGGTCGAGATGACCTTTAAAATCTCCCTTCCAACTCAAACTATGACTCTGTGATTCTTTCAACTGTCAGAGTTTAAAAAACAAACAAAAGACCAAACAACCAACCAAGCAAACAAAACCAAAAACAACCAACCGACCGAAAAACCACACACAAAAAATATCAACCAGAACAAAATCCTGGACATGATCATGATTCTGCATTACCTAAAGAGAATCTTTGAGAAAACCTTCAGTAAGGAAACAGGTTTTCAAGGAGGCCTAAGGCTGGAGAGGGATATTTTACAAGGGCATGTAAGGATAGCACACTGGAGAATTATTTTAAAACTGAAAGAGATTAGGTTTAGGTTGGATAGCAAGAATTTCTTTAGTGTGAGGGTGGTGAGGCACTGGAACAGGTTGCCCAGAGAAGCTGTGGATGCCCTATCCTGGAAGCATTCAAAGGGTTGGATGGGGACCTAAGCAAGCTGTTCTCATTGAAGATGTCCCTGCCATGGAGGATAGCACACTGGAGAATTATTTTAAAACTGAAAGAGATTAGGTTTAGGTTGGATAGCAAGAATTTCTTTAGTGTGAGGGTGGTGAGGCACTGGAACAGGTTGCCCAGAGAAGCTGTGGATGCCCTATCCTGGAAGCATTCAAAGGGTTGGATGGGGACCTAAGCAAGCTGTTCTCATTGAAGATGTCCCTGCCATGGCAGGGTGGTTGGTCGAGATGACCTTTAAAATCTCCCTTCCAACTCAAACTATGACTCTGTGATTCTTTCAACTGTCAGAGTTTAAAAAACAAACAAAAGACCAAACAACCAACCAAGCAAACAAAACCAAAAACAACCAACCGACCGAAAAACCACACACAAAAAATATCAACCAGAACAAAATCCTGGACATGATCATGATTCTGCATTACCTAAAGAGAATCTTTGAGAAAACCTTCAGTAAGGAAACAGGTTTTCTGGACCTTATGTGCATTTGGCTGAGACAGAGTTAATTTTCCTTGCAGCAGCAAGTATGGTGTGCTGGGCTTTGCGATTAAAACTGTTGATAACACATCCATGTTTTGGCTATCAGGATTTCTCTTTTTAATGCCCTGCCCTGTCCTGATCTCCTGCTTTCCCCAGTGAGTGAGCTGGGCAAGAGAATGGGATAGGACACAGCTGCGACATTTGACACAAACTGACCTAAGCAATATTCCATACCCTATAATATTATGCTCAGTAAACAAGCTCAGAGACAGAGGGAGGGCAGGGAGGATGCTCACAGCTACACCATTTGCCTTCTCAAGCACAATTAAGCATGTTGAAGCTCTTCTCCCACTTTCTTGCAAGTGGCTAACATCTGCCTTGCTGATGGCAAGTAGTGAATAAATTTCCTTTTATGCACGCAGCTTTTGCTTTTTATACTGAACTGCCACTATCTTCATCCACAAGTCTTCTTGCCTTCCTTCTATTTTCTGGCAAGAAGGGAGGTGAGCAAGTGGCTCTGCAGGTATTAGGCTGTTGGCTGAGACCAGTGCACTACAAATTTTTAAAACATTTGCCTTGACTACCTAAATTTGAAAAAGTCTGTACTTGAATAGAGATCCTTACATACTTTTCAAGAAATTTATTTCTCTATTGTGGCAGAAAAGTAGATGGTATATACAAACTCAAACTTAGTGACAAAACTTTTTTGCAACAAATTACTTCACAACTGTGAGTACAAATTACTAGTATCCTGAGTAAACAGAAGTCATAGAGAAATACATCACTTTAACACTGGAAAAGTCTCAAAAACTATTTTTATAGTAAAAAACAGTAACTGCAGGGTTGTCAATGTGATTTGGGAAGAAGCAATGCAAATTTTCATATGCCAACCTTAAGTTCTCAACTTTCAAGCTAATCAGGCAGACAGACATATAAGTCATTTAGTAAACATACCATCACTATGTGTCTAGTTCTGAACAACCCTTGAAAGGCAAAAGTACAAAAATATTGCTGTAATATGAGAGAAAATTTCAATCAATACTCCTGTATCTTTCCATGTTAGTGAAGCTCAGAGATTTCCACAAAATAAAACCCAAGTTAAAAATCAAGCTGAGCGCACAATTTCATTGTACTCATTCTGTCACTGTAGAAAATGAAGCAGAAATACTGCAGAAAAAGAAAATATGCCATCAAAGAAAAAGTATTAAATCCATACACAGAAATATGTGGAAAATCTCTCAATAAACCGATCGTGGGCTGACTGAAGATTGATCGAACATTTCCCAGAATTCTGACTTGAAAGACCAAATTAAACCAGACTTTTCAGTGCAGTTAACTAGACATAAATTTTCAAATAATGAAGCAAAGACACATAACAAAGAAATCAATGTGCAAGATGCTGCTGAAATGAGTAATATGACTGGCCATTTTAACTAGGAAAACTTGCAAGCCTGTCTGTCCTTCCTTACTCTTCAAATTAATAGTTACATATATCAAACTGATTAAGGGAATATATATAGTCCATGAGTTAGAGCAAAGACATTCACCCAAAGAACTCAGAAGAAACACCCTTCAAGAGAGCAAAAATATTTAGGATTATTTCCTACAAAATTTTGGCTACTAGAAAAAGCAAATTATTTCATTCTCAAACAGTCAGCAGACTAAACTGAGAAATTTCAAGAGAATAAAATAAATTTCTATCAGAGTAAAGTAATAAATGCAGAAAGTGTTACATACATATATAACAGACTTTCTTACCAGAATACATTTCACTGTGTGAATTGCACTAGGGTCCTTGTTGTTAGCTGCCCAGTGAAGTGGGATTTTTCCTTCAATATCAGGGATTCCAATATTCGAGTCATGTTTTATCAGAAGTTTCACGTGCTCTGGGTTATTGTAGTAGGCACTCCAATGCAATGCAGTTTGCTGGAACACAATTTTCATAAGTTTTACAAACACACTGAAAAATACTGTAATATGAAAATTTAAGTTGGTTAGAACCTGAAATATGATTTAATTATATTTTCACAGAATGAAAGAAATCACCTAGTCCAACTTCTCTGCCCAAAGCAGGGTCAACTAGAACAGGTTGATCAGGACACTGTTCAGTCATATCTCCATAGACAGACTTCACAACCTCTCTGGAACACCTGTTCCAGTGTTTCACCTTCCTCACAGTAAAAAAAGTATTTTCTCAGGTTTAAACAGAATTTATTATATTTCAACTTGCGCCCATTGCCTTGTCTGTTCACTGGAGGCCAAGAAGAGTCTGGCTCCATCTTATTTACTGCCTCCCATCAGGTCATTAAACACATCGGTAAAATTACCCTGAATTATTCCTTCCTCAGGGTAAACACTCTCATGTCTCTTGGTCTTTCTTTGAAGTCAGATGCTCCAATCTGGTAATCATTGTTTTGACTCGCTACTGGGCTCACTCTGGTATGTCTATGCCCTTACTGTACTTTAGAACCCCTAAGTAGATGTGGCATTCCATTTGTGGTGCCACCAGTGCTGAGCTGAGCAGAAGGGAGGGACCACAGGTAAAACCAGCTTTAAACAGCAGGTAAATGAGCAACCTGTAGCTACACTTCACTAAAGAGGACTGACAGAAAATGTAGCACATGTACCCAGGGTGGCTGACAACTCAAAATTGGTGAAAACAGGCTTTAAACAAAGCTGAACAAGAGGCCCATCTATCTCAGTAAGAGTAGGTAATCATACATCTTTGCTACTGAGGTCTGAATTAGGTCTAAGCTACACCATCTTACATGAGACCCACACTGAGAAGTCCTTATGTTTGGAACAGAAGTGTCTCTGGAAGGAGATTAATTGCTTCAAATAAGGATTTCTTGGGCTATGGGAGGAGAATAATGTCCATGCTACTTAGTCAGTCAACAGGGCAATGATATTTGGTGCAGCAGCTCCAGACCTGGAGAAAATACCTGTGCTTGCTATTAAGCAATCACATCCAAGTCAGAATGACCATCTGAAGCAGCCTCAGCATCAGAGCTGCACTACAGAACAACTGCAGTAAATAGCTTGGACCTTCTTAAATTTGGAAATCTCTTGGGAGTAACACAAATTGATGGAGAAACATAACATGACTACTCTCCACTAGAGGAAGATGGCACTGAATATAGACACTGGTCTTGGACCCATCTTGAGTAAAGGTTTATGACTTTCTGCACTGTCTGTGACCACTCTGAATCTAATGCCCAATGATGCATGACAGTCCAATAAAACATCAAATGGCAATCCATGTTCCTATTGCCAATTTCTAACTGCCAGGGGCTTTTTTACTGGCTGTGTCGATGTTCATAATTGCATTAACAAACCAATGTGTGTGGGTTTCTCAAACAGCAAAATGTTGGCAGATTAACAAGTATTTTATTTATCAGACATACCTCTCCCAAGTGCCAAATAACAGAGAATTGTAAGATACAGAATATAGAAGTTTATTTCCCATCTCTTTTACTCACTCATCCCAGCAAAATATTACACAGCATTTTGATATGGAAATTGAGAGATATAACTGCCATGGGACATGTATGTATAGAAGTACAATACCCTGGATTAACAGTGAGATAGAATGTATGAGTTCACTAGCATATCCTTAATGCCTCTGTAAAGGAAGAAAGCAAAAAGGAGCCTATTTTTTTGTGTTTGTTGCTTTAAGCTGTTAGTTTAGTACCCTGCTAACGTAATAAGATAGCACAATCTTTTTGTCTACTTGGTAACTCACTGAAGACAAGCCTATTCTAAGACATAACTGGAGGGGCTGCAAGGAAACGTCTGAAAACTGACACCACACACAAGGACATACAGCCTGACATCATGAAGTGCCATCACTCCCTGTCGGGATTTGAATTGCAAAAAACTCGTAGCAGTAGAAATTTGTAATAAATTAATGAATGTCATTTATTAAGTGAAGCTGACCAGTATCCCTAGAAACTGACAACTGCAATGAAAGCAGAAACCTTTCATTACCAGAAGGCAAATGTATCCTTGGCTCACTGGCTTCTCTCACCTACAACTAGTTTCAGACAGTTGACTACATGGAAGAAAATGTAAAATACAATTGTTCTCTACCATATCCAGGAATTATATACGACAGTCACAGCTGCAGTAAGGAAGCTCTATAAGCTATGTGCACAACAGGGTCAAGCATGTTGGGTTTTGTCCCCCCAAGATCCCTTTCACCAATCTGAATTCCATTTTTGCTACTGGGACTACTCATGACACAAATTGGAAGAAAAGTGCTCTACATTTTGTAGGGAATATGGCAATGCTTTAAATACTGCCTTAGAAATCTGCTAAACAGCAGTCAAGGTTCCTAAAAGGTTTTGGCTGGTTTTCATACACCTTTGTTAATTAATTAACATGGTCAGGAAGTCAGCATGACCTCCCCAGAATGACTGCTGTAATTATAGCCAGGGTTTCCACAATACATGTTAGAATATCCTGGAAGGCAAATAGCTGATTGCTAGGACACAGACTGGCTCAACTCCATTGTCCAGAGGGGACAGAAGATTCATTTGTTGGAAACTGGGCTTGCAGCTGTCTTATTCTGCTTCCTAGATGATAAAATCAGGTAAGGAATTCAGACGTTAAGCAGGTACATCACTAGAGAATCCAGGGCCTTTCTCTTACCACATCCTCTCGTGGCAGAAGGGAAACCCACTATATGAGGTACAGAATGATGATTCCACTAAGACCAGCTATGCCAAGCTAGTATGTTCGTTATCAGCTGATCCAAATACACTTGATAAGAGCACTCACATTTGAATCAGTGGCAGCTGTTCCAAGTTGTAAGTTCAACACTTAAAAAGCCTCCATCACCAGAAACACTTCCAGTTGTATTCAATACCACACCTACCCTTCCAATGGTAGATAACTTGGTCTTTCTTTTGCTATGTACATTCATGGTGTCTCACTTTTTGCTACTATACCCTTGCAGAAAAAAAAGGGTTTAGGGAACATTGATATATCTACATTCTTTGAAAGAAGTTTCTTTCACATTTCAGGATACACACACAGCTCAAGTACATGAAATTAAAATCAGATATTCACAGATTAACACAGATAACTACTAGAAATCTGTCTACTAAAGGCAATGCGATGATCTCCAAACCAGAACATGCATCAAGCATGCCAACCAGAATGACAAATCTGTTTTGTTCAAAACGTATGTGGAAGCACAAGAAATTCTTTACACAGAATGTTAGTCAGGACTGCCTGAAAGTCCTACACCTCCTCATACTCTACTATTAATGCTAATGGAGTCAACCATTTCACATCAATTTTAAATCAAGTGTTGCTAAGCACTCAAACTTAAAAACCACATTAATCTGAGCAACTCAAAAAATACAGTGACTATATGCAAAGTAACTATTCTTTGTTTCTAAATTAGTGCGCTGGTTTGGGCTGAAGTAGAGTTAACTTTCTTCACAGTGGCTAGTGTAGGGTTATGTTTAGGATTTGTGCTGAGCACAGGGTGGATAATCCAGAGATGTTTTTGTTATTGCTGAGCAGAACTTACACAGAGTCAAGGCCTTTGCTGCTTCCCATACTGCCACGCTGGCAAGGAAGTTGGGGGTGCATGGGAGATTGGGAGGACACACAGTCAGGACAGGTGACCCAAACTGGCCAAAGGGATATTCCATACCATATGACATCATGCTCAGTATGTAAGGTGGGAGGAAGAAGGAGGAAGGGAGGACATCTGGAGTGATGGTGTTTGTCTTCCCAAGGAACTGTTGCACGTGATGGGGCCCTGCTCTCCTGGAGATGGCTGAACACCTCCTGTCTGTGGGAAGCAGTGAATTAATTCCTTGCTTTGATTTGTTTGTGTGTGCAGCTTTTGCTTTCTCTATTAAACTGTCTTTATCTTAACCCATGAGCTTTTCTAGCTTTTACCCTTTGGATTCTCTCCCCCATCCTGTTGGTGAGGGAGTGTGTGAGCGGCTGCGTGGGGCTTGGCTGCTGGCTGGGGTTAAACCACGACAATTAGGTAATATGCTATTACTGTGGACTGGCAGTACCTCTCTGTATGAAGAGTAAATCAGTTCTTTTAAGAACAGTACCACTTTCCTTCTAAGACTCATGATCTTCTTCTGGCTGATCATTTTAATGACAGCCCTTTTTAACAAACATCAGTAGATTATTTCCTGAGGCTCTTAGAAGTCAGTGTGCTTCCAAAGCAGGCTGGTAATTTTATTGATGTGGTAGAGCATGATTTGACTTTGCAAAGGGACATGACACAACTCATGACACTACAGGCACTATATGATATACCTGGAAAGTCATCTGGAGACTTCATGCCCTTTCAAGCAACTGTTATCACTACAGATGCAGAAAATTAGTTGGAAGGGCTTCATCCAAAGAAAGTAGTAATATAAAGCTCTGAAATCTTATGATTACGTTTTCTCCCAAGGAAAACTGCAGTTTCACAAAACAAATGTCAAAGTGACTAACTGGTACTCTGTTTCAATTGAATGTCTTATGCCAGAATGTCAATCAACTTCATCATCACATCCCTCTCACTAAATGCTGCACTCGTGGAAGCAAAAGTACATGTGCATTGAACACAGACCACCTGCTGCCAAATGGTCCATTTTATGACAATAATAATAACAATAACTTGATACCTTTTATTGACCCTGTAGAAAATCTTCTGGACAAATGGCATCACACTCTATCCCAGGCTGTAAAGTCATGCATGACTAGGAGACTCCAAAAACTATTTCAAACTATTTTCTCCATCTGTCCCATTGAGGAAGGGGAGGCAGAGAGCAGTTAGGTATGCATTTGGCTGCCTGTCAAAGCTCACCCACCACACAATTCTAAAAGGCAGCACCTACAGACACCACCACCAATGTACTGGCCCCAGTGCAGTGCAAAATTGATCACTCAGGGTTACGAAGGACATCTGCCAACAGCAAACCTCCATTCAGCTCAGCACCAAGGAATTTCCTTTGTTTTAATTCACCTTTGGTATTGACAAATGTTTTGTAGGCCTTCTGCACAATGTTTTCTAGTGAGTCTTACAATTAAATGAATCTAAATGTAAGGTTTTCAAGGAAGAAAAGCAAGATAAACAAATGCTACCCAGAGTCTAACAAGGATCACAATATTACAGAAAGACTTGGATAGTTTTTTAACCCTTTAGTTTTGCAACTATGCTCAATAAGAACGTTGATGAACTCACTGCAATGAACTTTTACTTCATTAATATCAGGAAAATATTAATATTTCTATTTTGAAGACTTGGAAAAATCTTTTGACTGAAATAATTTTTCACACACAAGTGTTGGTGTAATACCAATTTCTAAAGTTGCTACCAGTGTTGTCTTAAAATAAGCAGTATTTTTACCTTATTTCTGTCCTGGGTATCCACCTCTCCAGGTGCCATATGTTTTAACAACAAAGCTAAACATTTCGGGCTTTTGTGACGTGTAGTTAAATGTAATGGTGTCATGTCTTCTAAGTCCTTCTGCATCCAGTTCCCTCTACGAGCCAGTAAAAGTTTCATGAAGCGGTAATTTCCCTGGGTAAAGAAAAATATCAGAAATTTATTTCAGTTTATCAAACCAAATAATGATAGATAAATTTACAGTTGTATTACAGTGCTTAAAAAACTGCATCAAAACAGCTCTAAGCTTCGGAAACATCTAATGAAGATTTCTTTGTTAAGAAACATGAATTCTTAATTTTTAAGCCTGTTATGCTTCTTGGTATTTATTAAACCTGCATATTCCATTAGGAGAGTGTGTAAGACAGGGTTCAGTGATACCAAAAATTATGCAATATTGTCAGTTTCTTGACTGCTTAACCTCAATAAACATCATGTAAAAACTGAAATTAGGCCATTACATGCTGGTTTCAGCAAGACAGACACTTATTCAATGAGGAATAAAACTCAACATGAAGAAAGAATACATTTTTCAAAATGAAAGTAAGAGAAATACCAGAGAATGATTCAGCTGAATGGTAACAAATATATGGAAATGTGATTGTTTCTTACATTTTTAAACTGGGAACTGTATGAATTTTGATCTACAGTATGCATGATAAGTGGGTGGGACAGCTAGCTTTGCAACACACTGAAAATACTTAACACTTTGGAATTATCACTAGGTTTTCACTATGTTCTCAAAAGAATTAATGTAGAAATGCTCCTGTGACCAACAGATGAGGGCAGATACCAAAGAAAACAATCTGGTTTTATTTCTCAAATCCTTGAAGCAGCCAGTCAAAAACTAAACATAAGATCATACAACCAGAAGAAGCTGGAGCGATTTAAGGTATAGCCAGCCTGGACTTGCTAGTGCCCATTGCTTGGAAGTAATTTTCCATGTAACAGAGCTGCTACACACAACATTTTGATGCTTCCAGTTCAAAGTCTACTGGGTTTATCAAATCACCTTCAGCAGTTAAATTTCAGTCAAGGACCTACACCAGCTGGAGTCATTAAAGCAAAACATCTGGACCTAACTTGTGAGATCATGTTTTAAACATCCCTGTCCTCTCTCCACTCTAACTTTTAACCTTTCTTAAAGTGAAAGGAGTGTGTTGGCTCCTAATTCTGCTCATATTCCCAATGTTTCCCAAAATATTAGTTTTTGCCAGTTTCACATATATAATAATTACCTATAAATTTAAGGCAAATAGAAAGCTCAGAAGACAAGCTAAATTGTACTAATTCCCCTCTCACACTTCAGGAAAAGCTGGACCATTGGATGAAGCTTTATTAGACAATGTGCACAGGAAAGGTGACACTAAAATCAACAGCAGTTTTGTCTTTGGGTTCTTCTGCTTATGGAACTACCTGCAAATTAACACAGCTCAGTCTACTATGATTCTCTTATAGATCCTATATGTTAACTTAGCCCCTTTAGGCTATCTTTGGAAAAACATGGAACAAAAAGGTAACCAAGTAGACAAGGGCAAGCAGTGCTAATGAATGAGGGTGCTTCTGTATCTCATAAGACTCAGAATTGCAAATCACTTGTCAGCAGAATGGTAGGGTGGAGACAGGCCGAAGAATTCCAGAGGCCCCCATAGTATTCAGTGCCAGGGATTAAAAATATTCAAGTTTCCTTCTTCAAAGCAGCCATAAACATTGGAAGGGCATATTTTACATATATTACTGTTCTGGTTTTTGTCTGATAGAAATGGAAGACTTGAGCTTTATGTAAGGATTTCACCAAGTACAGCCAAAATAAATGAACGTGACTTTTGTTCCCCTGCCTACACTATTTTATTTTAAAATACAAAACAGGGACACAGCAATTCATGAATGAGCTCAGACAAAGTAATCTCTTCCTGCTTCTGCCATTTATCATCAGTTCTTGCTCTTTAGTGCAAGCCTACAAGAAAAGTCTGCCAAAAAACCTTGCACAAACTTGCCTGAAAACGCACATTTCTCTTGCCAGAATTACTACTACAGCATTCAATATACAAATACATCTCTTTCTTCTGCTGGGTGTCAGAGAAAGCATAACCTTAGGATTTTGTCCCTTTAATACACAGACACATCCCAAAGCATACACTGAAGTACAGGGGCAGAAAAGCATAATGTCTGCAGAGCTACTAATCCATAGAGAACACACTCAAAATGAATTAATGGTAAATTTGAGAATGAACTAGGCATGAGAAAACTCCTCATTGCAACCATTATATTTTACAGGCAAATACATGGAGAATTTACAAAACTCATTCAAAAAGAAAAAAATAGCCAGCAAAAAAGTCTTAATGTATCATGATGTGGTTGAGAATTAGACTGGAGAAAGACAACATTAAATAACCTGAGAGAATATTGGTCTTGGAAGAAATATAGCTGCTTTTCTCCATCACAGAGGAGAATGCATTTGGTTTGTTTTCAGTATTTTCTGCTCAATGTGCATGCATACCCATGAAAGAAAAAGAATTTATTTTCTCTTGTGGATGGATATTTATTGGAAGATTTACAAGTATATTCAGCTTTTTGAATGAATTCAGCTGTAAAGTTAAGTCAAAGTTAAAATAATGCATAAAACTAAAGGAAACATACCTTTTTATTATTAGAATTTCTTTCTCAATACTGTTTTATTTTTGCTGTTACATATTTTTCCACCAGTTCCTACTGTATTCTCCTCTTGCATGTTTAGCCAACAACAAATCCCTTTCCCTAGCAAATGAATCTGTAATAAATCCCTTTGTTCTGAAACAAAATATTCTCTTTCTCCCAAAGGATTTAAGATTTGTTAAAACACATCCACAGAGAACACCTATACTTACATTACTTATTTGTAATTATCTTACCCATGCTCTTCCTTCTGACTGTTGTTCTTTTCTTTAGTAATACCCTGAACATTGCTGTGTTCCTTTCACTGGTTAGAAAATTATACCATCTTTTTCATGACACAGGACAATCTCCCCACCTTCAATTGATTACTGCTGAGGTTTGTATATCTGCAACGTATCAACACGTCTTGAAGGCAGATTTAATTTAGGTCTTACTAGGTGGAGGGAGGGAAAACGTGTTACATTTGAAAAGCCAATTCCTTCAACTTTATAAAATTCTTGTATATAAAAATGTCTTCAAACTTGCCAGTTTTACTCATAAATGATAGACTTGATTGGTCTAAACATTCCTGGGCAGTATGAAGCGCTTTGAGTCAGTCCATGGTCTCTTAACATTGACAGTGTCATAAAAAATGATTCTGTTATACAGTGAAAACAATATGAGCAAACAGGATTAAACATTGGTACAGAAAACTCAGTTCCTGGTAGCCAAAATTTACCATTCCCATTCTGATTCTTAACATTCCTTTAGATCCTATTACAGTTATTTTTAGTCAAAAGACTTGACTCTGTATGCAGAACACAGCAGAGTTTCAGAGAACAGCTGACCACTAGCTTCAGTATAATCAGAAGAAACACTTCTGCTATTTCAATATTTCAGTCACATATGCTAACTGCAATGGAAGATAACACATTTTTTTTGTAGACAGACAGTTCAATGAGCAGCCATTGCTCTGCCATCAAGTAACGACTTGGAGGAAAGTTCTTTACCCAAAGCTTAACTACAAGTAGTCAGAAAAACTTAACTTTCCTAAATGTTTCTATGGAGAAAAGAGGTGATGGAAGAAACATCTCAGTCAGAATCAATGAATTTGCCAGGATGCAGATTATCCCTGAAATGTATAAATTTATTCCCAAAATTGCAAATTCACTCAGAAAAAAATATCAATAGCTTTGATTCTATTGTCAGGAACAGGTTCTAGCAGAAAATTGCCAGCAAACTTTTCTACCTACTCTTCTGGGCCTACAAAATAATGGGATTATTTCTTCATTCATCTAAAGCAGCTTTTTCAACCTATTTTCTCTCCCTGGCCTGTTGAAGAAGGGTAGTGAGAGTGCTGAGAGTGCAGCATCTGGCAAACAGCCATGGGCAGTCTGCTCCATATGGTCACCTAAGTGACAGACTAAAGGAAAAATGAGCTCTGTTCTGACAACTGTGGTGGTATGATTCTAGTTGTAGGCTGATCCTGAAACGAATTAAGGGATTGTATTATCAGTGCACCAAAAACATCAGCCTCTGACTTCACATCATGCCAGTCTGTAAAGACTGCTTAGAGTCCTGGGGTAACTGGGTGACTTAGAGTCCTTCTGGGCTTTTTTTAAGACACCACACACACACATTCACTTGGAGTCCTGCTCTAAGTCACCTAGTTGCCATGTGCCTCCATTTCAAACACTTCTGCAGAACTTGGCCCATGGCACCTTCACTCCGCAGTGGAAAGATTAGGGAAAGGGTGTTTCTTTTTCTTCTCTTGGATCAGTGGCAGTCTTCCCCATTAAACTAACAGAGAACAAACGATCTGCTATGTGACTGAACCTAATGTGGGCATGTGGGTATCAAGAAAGAGAGTGACCCAGCATCACTGTGAAGCCCCTGTAACATCTAAAGCCTTTCTGGACCAGGTTTCAGCCCTTCCCCAAACAAACAGGCAGACACAGGTTTCTACTGGTCCAGTGTCCAAAATATTTCAATTGTACTGCAACATTTAGAGCAATCAAATTTTTTGTCTTACTGTTGGGAAGGTTTAATAATGTTACCCACCTCTACTAGTTGTCACTCTGGTGATAGGTAGCACAGAGACCAACCAACTTAACACAGAAGATGCCATCGTAAAAATACAGCTGTGCATTTCCAGCACGCACAGAGACCAACCAATTTAACACAGAAGATGCCATCATAAAAATACAGCTGTGCATTTCCAGCACTCAAAATGAGAAAAGAGGATCTGGCAGACATCTTTCTTCCTCACATGTTATCTAGCAGTCTAAGAAAGATTCAGAGTACTTAATGGGGTTTTTTAATTTACCTTTTTGATACTTGTAAATAATTTAATACATTCCCAGACAGAGTGTTAAAGCCTGAATCTTACATGAAATTCAGGAATGTTTTGCAGAATCCCAAATAAAATCCTCCTGGACGCATAATGATAAATGGCACTTAAGTATTTTTCACAGCAAACTTTTAAGTATTTCAGAAACATA